CAAGCTCTGGCTCATAACCTCCAGTTTCTCACTTAGTTGGTTGTGATTTTTATTTCGCTGTCGCGTCGATGTTTGAGAGGTTTGTGATTCCGAAATTTAAGTACTTCGAATGCGTTAAGTTCCATCCATGAATACTATTTAGAGGGTAAATACAATATTTTTATTTTTTTATATTACTTCTTGCTCTATATCTACATACGTACGTCTCAGAAACTTAAATCAAGATATATATATTTTCACAAATACTTCGATAAATACATACAAACATACGAATTGAGGTTTAGAAATTACAAAATCAATTGATTGAAAACATTTTCAATGATTAATTGTACAATTTAAGATATAATACATATCTACTATACCTATATCTACATATGTATGTATGTATGTATGTTAATAATTCACTCCAACTAAATTCGATACCATTTAATTCCCATTTACTTATAAGCTCACATACATTATTTGTATTTTAATTATTTACAATGGTAAATACCAGCTCAAACGGAATTTACATATATATGTACATACGTACACGTACATACATAAATAGTTAAAGTGTATCTATTGTTAAATACCATTGACTATACAAACTGATATTATTTCAGCCATTACAATGGCAAATATGTATTATATGAATATACATATATACAAATATACTTATGTTCACGCTATAAATAGAATTACAAAACGTTATATGTACATATGTATCACTTTCATTTATTATTTACTTTTATTTCTTTTGTCTACCGTTAAACATGCCACATTTTTATCTCGCTGCGTTTGTTCTATGCAGTACGTAAACATATGTACATACGTGTATGTATGTATGTATGTGTGAATATGCTTGTGTATATGCATTTGACTATCCGTCTATTTGTCTGCGCCAATGTGTACGAGTGTTTGACTTTTTATCGTCATATAAATTCTTTGCACATGACATTTGCATACATATATTTGATATACGATTGTGTGACAGGTTGTTATGTCGTTATAGATATATTACATACATACGAGTACACAAATACGAGGTTTGACAATTAAGTAACGAGACTGATTATATTGCCGCGATTGTGGTAACCTTGCGACCTTGAAATTTCCTTTCCCTTCTCCCGGCATCCTTCTCCTCTCCATTGATATATTTGCCATTGCTATAGCTTGTCTAGTTCGCCGTGTCGTGTGGAGTAAACGTGGGTTCGTGGTGCTTGTCACGAAAATGGAAAAACGAAATCAAGACGATTTCGTTATACCTTTTCGCCAAATAGCTTCGGAAACGTACGTTAAAATTGCAAAAGTGTTCTTAGTCGTATCCCGGTATTTCGAAGGCATAAAGAGTTTAAGGAAGGGCGTGAAAACGTGGAAGACGAGGCGAGGTTTGACTCGAGAGCGCAGCGTGTGCGCGCTCAAATCTGTGAAGATCGCCGTTTGACAGTTCGAATGTCGCCAAGTACTCGAAAAATTTCGAAAACGAGTCAAGAGAGTGCGTCCAGACATCGCTCGTAACTGGATCCTTCATCACGACAACGCGTCGTGCCACACCACCCTCAGCGTGTCCCAGTATTAGGCTTCTATATGGATCGTCGCATTGCAACAACCTCTTTATTCGCCCTATATGTCACCCTCTGACCTTTTTAGTTCTCTAGAACAAAATTGGTGGTCATAGGAACCCCTTTGGAGTCGTTTGAGGACATCCAGGCGGCCGCACGAGGGTACATGGAAAACGCGCTGGAATCGTTTTATAGCTGCCCAAGGGGACTACTTTGAAGGGGTTGGCAGAGTTGTAGAATAATTTTGAAGTATACGGTTTTTATGGAATAAGTCTCATTACTTAATTGTCACACCTCGTATAATATATATATGAATATATTTTTTTCCTGTTTTAAGAGAAAAACACTAAATTCTGTTTCTATAATGATATTGCTGCATATGTTGATGCTGGAAAGACAACAAAAAATCTATATTTGAAAAAATAGATAGGTTTACGACAGGGTTACTCCTTGTCGGGTGATTTCTTCAATTTGATACTGGAGAGAATAATAAGAGCTGCAGAGCTGAATAGAGAAGGTACAATCTTCTATAAGAGTATACAATTACTGGCGTACGCACCATGAGTTCTGCTTTCTCCAGGCTTGATCAAGAAGCGAGGCGAATGGGTCTGGGTCATCAAACAAACAGTCATCGCATTCGCGACTTGGCTCCCACGTCACTATTCATAGTCATAATTTTGATGTCGTAGATAATTTCGTCTATCTAAGAACCATAATCAACAACAACAATAATGTCAGCCTTGAAAGCCAGCCTAGGCTCACTATTGTCAACAGGTGCTACGTTGGACTGAATAGGCAATTGAAAAGTAAAGTACTCTCCCGAAGAACAAAAACCAAACTCTACAAATCCCTCATCGTTCCCGTCCTGCTATATGGTGCGGAAATATGGACAATGACAACATCTGATGAGTCGACGTTAGAAGTTTTCGAGAGAAAAGTTTTTGCGTAAGATTTATGGTCCTTTGCGCGTTGGCAACGGCGAATACCACAGACGATGGAACTATGCTACGTACGAGTTATACGGCGACATTGATATAGTTCAGCGAATCAAGAAGCAGCGGCTACGCTGGCTAGGTCATGTGGCCCGGATGGATGCGAATACTCCAGCTTTGAAAGTTTTCGATGTAGTACCCACCAATGGAAGCAGAGGAAGAGGAAGACCTCCACTCCGTTAGAAAGATCAGGTAGAGAAGGACCTGGCTATACTTGGTATTTCCAATTGACGCCAAACAGCAAAAAGAAGAAACGAATGGCGCAATGTTGTTAAATCGGCCAAAATCGCGTAGGCGGTGTCTGCGCCAGTAAAGTAAATAATTAAGTAAGGTTACAAAGTTCCATATTCCAACATCTAAACTTCTTAATTTGGATTGCAAAATCTGCTGGGAATTTAGATATATAGGTCACCTAAGCATCAAAATTCCGTCTTACTTNGCTACGCTGGCTAGGTCATGTGGCCCGGATGGATGTGAATACTCCAGCTTTGAAAGTTTTCGATGTAGTACCCACCAATGGAAGCAGAAGAAGAGGAAGACCTCCACTCCGTTAGAAAGATCAGGTAGAGAAGGACCTGGCTATACTTGAAACGAAATGCGCAATTTTTTTAAATCGGCCAAAATCGCGTAAGCGGTGTCTGGGCCGGTAAAGTAAGCAAGTAAGATTACAAAGTGCCATTTATATATATACATTCCAACATCTAAACTTTTTAATTTAGATAGAAAAACCTGCTAGGAATATAGGTCACCTGAGCATCAAAATTCCGTTGTTTAAACCCCTCTTACTTATTCTGAATTTATATTATTAGGCGATCCCGCTATGTGTAGGACTCCATAAGCGTTTATATTTATCCCTCCATCTGAGGTAGTTGCCGTTGATCAGACTGGAAGAAGATTGCGCCAAAATTACTTAGGAAGATATATCCTTATAGTTTTCGTTTTATAAATATATTCCCAAACGGTTAACATAATAAAAGTATTTAATAAAAGTAAATGCGGCTGAAAAGAATATCAGATATTGGCTTGAGGTGTAAAAGCGAAGATTCTGCTTAAAAAAAACTTGTTAGAATATAGCTTTCGAATTCAGCATACTAATAGATTTACTGTAATCATGAGAATGCAGATGAAATTTTCCATGAACACATATAGATGCTTGGAAATAAAATGAAAAATACTCAGCCATGCATTTGAGTTTCGAAAGACATTATAACAATATAGTTCACTGTAATCAAAAAACTTCAATCAATTCGGTTGAAACATTTGAAAATGTTATCGTTATAGCCTATTTCCACCGGACCTTAAATGCATTTTAGCTTAAATGTATTTAAACATCGCATTTAAATGCGGTAATTCCCATGTGTTTGTTGTTGTATAAAAGTGTGTTAACTCACTTTTCAAAGTGAGTTAACTCACTTTCGGTGGAAACGTTTGACATTTCATTTACTTAACAGAGGCCTTAAATGCATTTAAGTGCTTGGTGGAAATAGGCTATTAGAGCATTTATCAAAATAAATTTTACTGCGTTTTTACCGAAACAAAAATCTTTCGTTAATGTTAAATTAACAGTTTATGTTAAACGTTAAGATAGAATTGTGCTGTTAATATCATAGTAAACTGTCATTTGAATATGCACGTTAACGAAACGAAAAAAAAATTATTTTTCATATCAATCGCTTCGTGAGATGCTCAACTCACCGGATAAAAAAATATTTATAGAAGTATATTTGTCTGTTTACAAGTAATTTCTCACAGGCAACAAAATTGCGGTGTCACTATCAACAAGAATAAGACAACAAATACAATAAAATTAAAACCAGATTCAAACTATTATCTCAACAACCAACAATTGAATCAATGACAACTGGAAAATAACAAACACTACTTACATACATATATATATACTCGTATATCTAATATAACTGACATTAATGAAAAGCTGTAGCTCCAGTAGACGCCTCTCACTTTTATTTGCCACATTACAACAACAACACTATTTTTTATTTGAACATTATGAGTACTTGTGTTCAGTGCGTTTAGCCAGACAATTATGTGGCCACATATAAATGTATATTTAAATAAACAACTAAAGTTATTATGCCTGTTTGTAGTCCATAGTTAAATGCGGCAGCACCAAACCCAAAAAAAAACACGAAAGCGCAAGTTGTCTGTAGTTAAGTTAACCGCCAAACTGCTGCGAATAAAATTTGCAAGCGCTCGAAAACGATCGCCACAACAAGTTGGCCAAGCTGTGCGCCGCCAGCCATGCAGTAATTCAGTTGTTCGCGAGCGTTTAAACCAGTTAGTTGGTGGAACCAACTAAAAATTGCGGTTTTTTGAAAAAATTTTAAATTTTTTGTATGACGGATTTTCAAGCTTATTTTAATTACTTAGTAGACAATTCACTTCTATAATAAAAAAAAAAATAAAAAATAAAAAAATAAAAAGTAAATTAATATTAAATAAATTCAATTAAAATTAAACCATTTTTAATAAAATCCACCATAAAATTTTAGGCGAGGCAATAGGTAAACTTACAAATAAATAAATAAACAAAAAAATAAAAGATATACGGATAAACAACCTTCATAATGCCAACAATATCAAATCGCTTTAATAACAAATTACCTTTTGTTTGGTTAACGATTGTGTTGTTATTGTTATTGCAATGTTGCAATTGCGCACTGGGCTCACCAATGTTATACAAAAAAAATCCACAAGACAAATACGAAGCAGGTAAGGTTCGAATTTTTTTTGTTGCTTTCATTCAATGTTTTTTTTTGTTTTTTTATTAATTCAAATGGAAATCTTTATTATTTGAGTTTTAGTGAATTACAAAAGAAAAAGAAAAATTAATTAAAAGAGATTGATTGGAAATATAAACCAATATAAATTTTTCGGAAACAAATCTAGTTGAAAAAAAGGGTTTCAGGCGCGATTTCGATCTACGATTTTACGCAAGTATAGACATCGAAAAATTACTAAAAGTATATCATTTACATACAAGTATATATATTTAAATGAAAATATTTTAATTTTCAATTATTTTGAAATGCCTAAAAAACGCCAAATATTTTCCGAATCTTTAAAGACAAAGTTACAAAGCAAGTGAAAAAATATAAATAAGTAAATTGTTCGAAAAAAGTGATATTCAAGGTTTTTCAAGATACGAAGAGACAACCAAATTTTTAAAACTGAACGAGAACTGCGTGGCAACGCGAAGCAAAATAATCCCCCACGAAACAATTATTTGCTGAGAAAAATAAAAAGATTTCTTACAAATCTTAACGGATTTTGTCATAGCTACGAGGTTGTTTTCGTGGTCTGGTAATTTTCTTATTGAATTCTTTTTATATAATTTTGAATTTTTGCTTGCTTCAAAGCTATAGCAATCGGCTTGGTAATTTCTAACCCGTTAGTTAGTCAAGAATAAATTTAAGTTTCTTTGACTTTTTGGCTAAGAATTGAATTTTTTAAACCGGTAGTGCTCGGAAATACACAGCATGCATGATTATCGTAAAAGAAAAAAACACTTCAAATGGATTTTCCGAAAAAAAATCCCGAAGTAAATACAACCGAAGCCTCCTACCTGAAAAAAAACAAACTTTGAATAGAATGCTACAACTGTTAATATCTACGCCAATTATAGTTTCTCGTTAAGACCCTCGACTTGTACAACTCGTCAGCTTTTTCGTTGCCGAACATTTTCATATGACCGGGAATCTAGATTACAGATTATTACTAGTGACGACACGGGACATTGGCGACGGTAATGTCAACGATGCCGTCTGACTGAGCGTGAACGTGGTTGCTTTCTATATCCTCGCTTGAATATTCAATTAAGCTCCATAGGCCTTTTCTAAGCCTATACTTCGGTTTAGTAGCTAGATAGGTTGAGAGAGAGGAAGATGTCAGAATTCTTGAAGTATGTTGGCGATCTCCATTTCAATGATTTTAATTAACAGAAAAACATTGTAAATTTCTTTAAATGAATTAAGCCACTGAACGAAGGAATAATAAAAAGTTTTAAATTTGAGAAAATTACGTCTACTCGAAAAATATATTATTTTTGATTCAAACTTTTGCTCTAAATTGGTTTAAAAAAGAAGGTCAACGAATTTGAACTACAGTTTCGAGAAAATCGAATTTATAGATTCAGACGTCGAAACCATATAGTTAATTTGTTTTTCATATGCAGGGAAATTTTACGAATTGGATAAGTTTGGATCGAATTATAAGAGTATACTTAAATATATATTAATCCTCAAATGCGAAGTCCACCTAAAATACATCAAATCGTAATAAAACTTCTATTGAACATAGCTAATTGCAGAAGATGCTATCATTTACCGATTAAAAAAATTCCAAAATACTCTTAACTTCAGAATCAACCCTTATATAATACAGTCCACGATACAATACATTAATAAATTTTCAAACTTGATTCTAAACAGATCTTGTGCCCGTTTCATCAACTGTCATACCGCTAACAGTGCTTGAGGTCAGCTATGGCTTGGGTGGCAAACCAAGTGAAGAGTATAAACAAGCCTATTTGAAGAAATTACGCAAAAAGGTTCAGCTCAAACAGCATGCAAAATTGACCCAAAAACAATACGATGGAGATGAAGCTGAATTAGCAGATCCCGACACGCTCATAACAAGTGAGTGCAAAACTACTTTAACATATTAACATTTTTTTAATACAAAAATAGATGATAAAAATTAAAAAAAAATATAATTTGAAAAATTAAATTAAATTTAATTAAATTAAATTAAATTAAATTAAATTAAATTAAATTAAATTAAATTAAATTAAATTAAATTAAATTAAATTAAATTAAATAAAATAAAATAAAATAAAATAAAATAAAATAAAATAAAATAAAATAAAATAAAATAAAATAAAATAAAATAAAATAAAATAAAACAAAATACAATAAAATAAAATAAAATAAAATGAAATAAAATAATATAAAATAAAATAAAATAATATAAAATTAAGTGAAATAAAACAAATCAAATAAATAAAACAAAATAAAATAAAATAAAATGTAATATAATATAATAAAGTAAAATAAAATAAAATGAAATAAAATAAAATCAAATAAAATGTAATATAATATAATAAAGTAAAATAAAATAAAATGAAATAAAATAAAATAATGAAAAATGAAATTGATAAAGTTGTTGGTAATAAAACAAATCGATTAAACGTGTGTAGTAAAGTTTAGTTAAAAATAATAATCTCCAAATTTCAAATGCCCAACAGTTGCTTCGCTTATAAAATGTTTAGTATGACTGAGAAGCACATAAAATTCTAAGTGTGGGAGTAAAACAAGCTGACAGGGCGTATGCGTGATATTCAAATGAGTACACTTGTGCAAAGAATTTTTTTACTTGCATAAGTATGCCCACGCAACGTATACTGCCATATATAATATATGTATATGGTTACTATTATAAAAAATCGAAGTAAAAAATTAAATGATTGAAAAAACCTAATGGAAATAAATTAAATAATAAATATAGCCAAGTATAGCTGCTGCCGTTGAGAACGAAGGTTAAACAGGTTTGCCGTTGCGCCATACCGTTGCTAACAGTTGTACCCAGACTACTTTTTGAACTAAATCTAAACGAAATACACTTGTTTCGGGTTTCTATTTGGTTTTCTTTTATTTCATTTTGTCTTCATTTATGACTTTTTCTTATTTTGCACATTGATTTTATGACTTCGACGGTAAAGTTTGCACAAGTTGCATTTAAGTACTTTTTTCGCTTATTGGGCATATTAGTGCTTGCATTTATGTGTGTGTTTGTGAATGCGAAACCTGCTAGCGAAGTCAACAAGTATTTACTTCACTTGTTTAAGCTTTAAGCATTGGTGGTATTTGAGATTTATTTATTTCTTTTTTTTTTTTGAATTGTACATATTTCTAACAAAATTTTCGTAAATATATACATAAACGAGTAAGTTTTTGGTCTATTTGCAGTCAAAAAGAAACATAACGACACCAATAAAGCCAAAGTCAAGGGCATCTAAAGCAATTGAAGATGTCAATAATGGCACGATGGCAGCACGAGAGCGATTGGAGCGTCATGATTCTGGTTGGGATGGCATTAAACCAGTACATCAGCATAATAGAAATACAAATAACAGCAAAACGAAGAGCAAAGAGCGTTGCGTAGTGTGACAATTTGACAGCAAGCTATATCGAAATCATAGAGACTCGCAGCGTTTTAGATGGCGATATGCCATCATCATCATCTTCACGACCGGCTCTCTATGTGCGGGGGTGGGTTTTGGACTTTTAAGTGCATTGCTTGTTACTGCTTTTCATTTCTGTGCAAGCAATCTGTTTTCAACAGCAGCAGTCATCGATGATGTCACCATGCTTCAACACCGCTACGTTTAAACTTACGCGCGTTGAATACAATATTCGACAAACAACATAAAAATATGTAATAAAAAGTAATATAATAAAATAAAAAATAAGGAATATAATTTTCATCGTTCGTAGCCATCAACAGTTCGGAAGCTCTTACACTCCTCCACATTAACTTTCATGCAGTAAGGCTAGCAATTCTTAAAGCTTTTTGTATTTCTTAGCTGTTCTCTTTTAGGCAACAGATATTTTAGTTTCAAAATTTTGTAACATACTGAACATGTGAACTTATTTGAATAGGAAAAAATGTGTACATATGTAATAAACTGTAAAAATATATTATATTATTGAAAATTACATACCAAATAATAATAGTAATGAAAATAAATGCATTCGATTGCGTAAACAAATCGAGACCCATTATTTTCAGCCATTTGTGAAATTCTATACCATTATATTTGTACAGTTACTTTTTTTTCTGTATACATATATATCTATATCCACATCACATAGTACACACAAGCATGTATTTGTAACACATTTGTAACCATTATATATACATAATGTAATAAGAATACAAAAATATTATTATTTGTAAATTCAATAAATGCTTACATACATATACATTTTCCTTTGTTCTTTTTTTTGCCAGCATTTTTTGTAATTTTTGTCACTTCTGTGACTTTGATGCATGGGTTATTTGCTCTGGTATCAAAAAAAAAATATATATATATATACATATATACATTTCTACTTAAGCTATCGCTTTCAAAGCTTTGTTTTATGTATTTTCTTCGTTAATCAGTCATTTAGTGAGTTATATTTTTTTAACAGTTTCTTGGTAATTTTTTTTTGTTACTTTGTGCACAAAAATTCGTAAATGGTAAATGACCAACTATGGACCTCGACCATTACGGGATTCTAAAAATTTGGATAAGCAAGTTACCATATTTATACTTTGACAGACTGAGTAACTTTAACTTTAATTGTGAAATTTAATTTGACAAATTAGATGCAAACCTTTTTGTTTTGAGTAGGCAGAGTGATATTACTTTTTTTGAAACAACTGTCCATCTACGATGAGATCACAAAAAGCAAGAAAAACCATCATAAAAAATTGGAATAAAAAAATAAGAAACTTAAATAGATTTATATAAAATAAAACTTAATAATATAAAACAAAATAATATAATTTTTAAATAAATTAAAACAAAATAAAAAAATAAAATAAAATAAAATTAAATAAAATAAAATAAAATAAAATAAAATAAAATAAAATAAAATAAAATAAAATAAAATAAAATAAAGTAAAATAAAATAAAATGAAGTTAAATTCAATTTAACAAAATAAAACAAATTTAAATTAAATTAAATCAAATTAAATGTAATAAAACAAAATAAAATAAAGTGAAATAGAGTAAAATAATATTAAAATAAAAAATAATACGAAATAAAAAAATAAACAGAAAACGAAATCAAATAAAAAAATAAAATATAACAAAAAATGAAACAAAAAATAATATAAAAAAATGAATTAAAATAAAATAAAGTAAATAAAAATAAAAGAAAGTAAAATCTAAAAAACATATAAAGAAAGATAAGAAACCTTCACATAATTTCTTAATATTTTTTTTGTTCACAAATGGAGAGGTACTGGCAGCATATGCGTTTAAATGAAATTTTCTAAATGTTATTTTACTCGAACTCATTACTCTTCGGCTTATGGCACACACTGCTGTAGACTAGTAGGCTACTGTGGTCTTTCTAACGATTGTTTCTTTTTAGGTACGTTACGTGATTTTTCAACTATTAAGAAATCATGAAAATTTATTTTCCCAAAGTTATTTTCAACATACATAAATACATATATTTTTCTTAGCAATAGAACCTGTACTCTCATTAACTTAATTTGGTCATAAACACTTTTCATTTCTGTTTTTTGCTGTTGCATATAAAATGTTACTATTTCCAACACCAGCGAAGTTATAAGAAAATTTACTAGTACAAATGTGTGATATAAATTTTATTCTCTCTCTCAAGTTGTTGTTTCCAACAATTTTGACTTCCATAAAACTGACTTTCGCGATAACATTGTATGTGTAATTCTGTTTTGCGTTTAACAGCATTTTTGTCACTTGAATGGTTCTTCCCTTTCATTTGACTTATTGCATTTACAATTGTCATAAACTTGTGTATATATGTATATATGTTTGTAAGTTGCCATTTTTTTGTTTTTTTTCCTTTTTTGTGTAATTGTAATTGAGGTAATTTTATGGCCACTTATCGTCGTCCTCTTTCAGATTCTCAATCATACTTAAGTGGCCATCACTGCCACAATTGATATGCTCAATACCGTTAAAACTTTTGTCGCCCCGCATGTAGTAATAATAGGTGACGAGAAGTATTTAAAGTTGCATTACATGCAATCGAGGGTTGAGTTGAATGGAATATTTGTGGTTAGGTTTATGTCACTATAATACACTTACATTTATATATGCGTTGACATTTATTTGTGGCGAGCGAAAATGTTTCAATGTGCGGACATAAATATACTATATTGTACGTATGTATGTATGTTTGTATATAAAATGTGTTTTGTAAAAGCATTGAAAAATTCTTCAAATGAAGTAAAAAATGTCTGAAACTTTTTATTCCCTTTCATTTGTGGTAAAATCTATGTATTTTTGTATTCATATACATACATACATATACATATGTGCGAGCACATGTTGGCACGGTTGTGTAAAAAACTTATTAATGAAATTGAAGTAAATCAAAATTTCAATTACACGTCTGTTTAATGTCATTTACATGCAATAAATGAAATTGCGTTTGATTAATGTACTAACAGAACGTTATGGAAGGCGTTGATTACGTTTGAGAAAAAAATTTACCATATTTAGAATGAAGTTCGGTCATAAATAGGGACCGCAATATTTCTCATACCATGATTAAAATTATTTTTCCTTTTTTTTTGATTTAATTCAAAGTTTACACGGCATTTGGACCATTTGAAAATAACGGTAATTCTTATAATTTTTCTTATCTCATTCTTTAATAAAATTGTACTAAATAACACCTTAATAAAAAAATTATATTACAAAAAAGTAAATTTTTATAAATTAATTAATTAACCGAAGCTCATCGGCTCGAAGTTCCAAAAAATTATATTGGTAAAAATTTTCGAGCTTTAAGAAATAGAGAAGTGAGAAAAGCTACGTTTTTCAAATCAAGGCAATTGAACAGGTTCGAAGTGTAAAATTTGGTATATTTAGTTCTGAGCCTCCAATTATTTTTTCCAGCTTTAGCTATGAAGAAATGACATGAGATAAAGTCTGAACTTCGTATGTCTCCGAATGTCTCGGAAAGTTTCTTCCCAGTTCTGATCTTATTTTTGGTGTTACTCATCAACATTTTTCAGCTTGGAGATCCAACGTGGAATATATGCTACTTTGGGCTAAGTAAGCAATTGAAAGGTAAACTCATCTCTCGACAAACAAAAGTCATATTCTACAAATCGCATTGACAAGGACGAATATCATAGCCGATGGAACGACAAACTGTACGAGATATACGGCGACATTGACATATACCACCGAATCAAGAGACAGCGACTATGATGCCTAGGACATCTGGTGCGGATATATAAGAGTACTTCAGCTTTGAAAGTTTTTGATGCAGTACCCGCCGGTGGACGCAGAGGAAGGAGGAGAGCTCGAAAGGCCCCGGCTGTACTTGGCATTTCCAAATAAGTGAAAAGTAGGAATAAATAGCGATATTTTGTTAATTCGGGTTTAATAGCGTAAGTGGTGTCGACACCAAAAATTAAGAAGAAGAAGAGGCAAGTTTTGTAGGGATACCAAATTCATACAAAACGCCGTGGAGACAGCTCTTTTTCGTACTACCGAAGGAAGCTTAATAATTGGCGGTATGTATCGATTCGACCGCGGTAGCCGTGTAGCATTCGGAAGGCTCGAATTGAAATCCCCGTGCGATCAACATTCAGAAATTAAAGAAAATTAATTCAAATAAAAAATTAAGCTAAATTTTCTAATTGCATTCACCCCGCGGCAGGGAATGTCCACCTCTCCGAGTGTATTTCGTGCATGAAAGCTCCACGTAAAGAAACCATCAGCCATTCGGAGGCGGATTAGTATAAACTGTAGGTCCCTCCATTTGTTGGGAAAACACAAATAAGAGAAGGAGCTCGGCGGAAAATCGTTATATATATATATATATATATATATATATATATATATATATATATGTATCGATTTATTTCTTAAAGGGGCTCCTAAAATTTTGCTTATGATATTGTATTATCTGACCAACGATGAATTTTCCAAATCTAAAGTTATACTGAAAAGTCCAATTAGTTTGCTTACGGTGGACTTTAATATGCTCGATAGAACGTTATATATATCTGAATAACTTGGCCCGTAAACTGTCGGTTCTATTTATGCTTTACTGTTCTTTGGTCGAGCAATCGCTATTCGTGATATGTCATAGTCAGGGAAAGAAGTATTACTTTGTTATTGATTGGGATCGATTCCGCCACTTTCGGATGTTTTACTTTCAGTCAGTCAGCAGTTTATTAAGGTGTTCCCCCTTTAAACTCAGTACACTCGGAGTAGCGGTCATGACATCACCTCTTTGGTGCCGGTCTACTTCCCGTGAATAGCCGCCTTTCCTTGTCGAAATTTCGTACATTACCGCAATCAATCAGCTTCTCAAGATCTACATATTCAGATATGTTTCGGTCTTTCTTGGAAGGCGGTAATGACAGGCTTCCTAACTGAAGTACCGGAAATTTCAGGTGCGTTCTTTGGTTGCCTTCTTCTCATCTCCACTACCAAACGTAGTTGTTGCAACATTTTCTTTAGAGCTGCTTTCTACATGGCGGGTGACAAGGCCAGCGCATAATCGTGATACCTAAGCAGGCTTACATTTTGGACATATTTTTGTTCTTCTTCTTCAACTAGCTCACATAAATTGCTTTAAATCGCAGTCAAATGCTTCTCAAAGTATTAATGTTTTACCTACTTTTATTAGTCCCTATGCTACAATCTTAAAATGTACACAATTA